TGGGAATAATGGGAATGGACTGGGAATTATGGGAATGGGAATCATGGGAATACTGGGAACAATGGCATTAATGGGACTGGGAATAATGGGAATGATGGGAATAATGGGAATGGGATTAGGGATGGGGTGGGAATAATGGGAATAATGGGATTGGGAAGGGGAATAATGGGAATAATGGGAAAAATGGGAATAATGGGAATGGGAATAACAGCAATAAAGGGAATAACGGGATTGGGAATAATGGGAATCATGGGATTGGGTTTACCAGTTAACAGGATGGGAAGAACCTGGATTTAGGATCACTGGGATTTGGGATCTCTGGGATCTGGGATCGCCAGGTAATGGGATGGGATGGGAAGGATGTGGAGATGGGATATTGGGATTTGGGATGGAGATGGGATGGAAAAGACCTGGAATTACCACTCAATTAACGGGATGGGCCTGGATTTGGGATCTCTGGGATTTGGGATGGGAAGAATCTGGATTTGGGATCTCTGGGATTTGGGATCTCTGGGATTTGGGATCACTGGGATTTGGGATCTCTGGGATTTGGGATCTCTGGGATCTGGGTTCAACAATTACCAGTTAACAGGATGGGAAAAACCTGGATTTGGGATCTCTGGGATTTGGGATCATCAGTTAAATGGATGGGAAAAGCCTGGATTTGGGATTTGGGATCATCCATTAATGGGATGGGAAGGGCCTGGATTTGGGATCTCTGGGATTTGGGATGGGAAGGGCCTGGATTTGGGATCTCTGGGATTTGGGATGGGAAGGGCCTGGATTTGGGATCTCTGGGATTTGGGATCTCTGGGATTTGGGATCTCTGGGATTTGGGATCATCAGCAGATGGAACAGGGAAGGAAAAGCCCCAAATCCAGGATCTCAGAACCACGGGATAGAAAAGACCCGGATGTTCCGGGATCACAGCTCTGGAATTCTGGGATTTGGGAATCCTGGGGATTTGGGAATTCTGGGAATCCTGGGAATTTGGGAATACCTGGTGCAGCGCCGTCAGCCCGTCCTCGTTGCACAGGTCGGGGCTGATCCCGCTCTCCAGGAACTGCCGGACTGCGGAGGAACGGGAATTGTGGGATGGGAATTCCGGGATGGGAATTGTGGGATGGGAATTGTGGGATGGAATTCTGGGATGGGAATTGTGGGATGGGAATTGTGGGATGGGAATTGTGGGATGGGAATTCCAGGATGGGAATTCCGGGATGGGAATTCCCATGGAACCACAAGTGGAAACATCAGGGATCCCAAACGGATGCAAGGAGCATCACAAGGGCAATTCCAAGGATCCCAACGGGAATTCCAAAAATTCCAATGG